TGTGTTCAACATGTAAGAAGTAGAAAGTACAGGTATTTGAGTTCAACATGTGAGAAGTAGAAAGTACAGGTATTTGAGTTCAACATGTAAGAAGTAGAAAGTACAGGTATTTGAGTTCAAAATGTAAGAAGTAGAAAGTACAGGTATTTGTGTTCAACATGTAAGAAGTAGAAAGTACAGGTATTTGTGTTCAACATGTAAGAAGTAGAAAGTACAGGTATTTGGGTTCAACATGTGAGAAGTAGAAAGTACAGGTATTTGTGTTCAACATGTAAGAAGTAGAAAGTACAGGTATTTGGGTTCAACATGTAAGAAGTAGAAAGTACAGGTATTTGAGTTCAAAATGTAAGAAGTAGAAAGTACAGGTATTTGAGTTCAACATGTGAGAAGTAGAAAGTACAAGTATTTGAGTTCAACATGTAAGAAGTAGAAAGTACAGGTATTTGAGTTCAACATGTGAGAAGTAGAAAGTACAGGTATTTGAGTTCAACATGTAAGAAGTAGAAAGTACAGGTATTTGTGTTCAACATGTAAGAAGTAGAAAGTACAGGTATTTGTGTTCAACATGTAAGAAGTAGAAAGTACAGGTATTTGAGTTCAACATGTAAGAAATAGAAAGTTCAGGTATTTGAGTTCAACATGTAAGAAGTAGAAAGTACAGGTATTTGAGTTCAACATGTAAGAAGTAGAAAGTACAGGTATTTGAGTTCAACATGTAACAAGTAGAAAGTACAGGTATTTGTGTTCAACATGTAAGAAGTAGAAAGTACAGGTATTTGAGTTCAACATGTAAAAAGTAGAAAGTTCAGGTATTTGTGTTCAACATGTAAGAAGTAGAAAGTACAGGTATTTGAGTTCAACATGTAAGAAGTAGAAAGTACAGGTATTTGAGTTCAACATGTAAGAAGTAGAAAGTACAGGTATTTGTGTTCAACATGTAAGAAGTAGAAAGTACAGGTATTTGAGTTCAACATGTGAGAAGTAGAAAGTACAGGTATTTGTGTTCAACATGTAAGAAGTAGAAAGTACAGGTATTTGAGTTCAACATGTAAGAAGTAGAAAGTACAGGTATTTGAGTTCAACATGTGAGAAGTAGAAAGTACAGGTATTTGAGTTCAACATGTAAGAAGTAGAAAGTACAGGTATTTGTGTTCAACATGTAAGAAGTAGAAAGTACAGGTATTTGTGTTCAACATGTAAGAAGTAGAAAGTACAGGTATTTGAGTTCAACATGTGAGAAGTAGAAAGTACAGGTATTTGAGTTCAACATGTAAGAAGTAGAAAGTACAGGTATTTGAGTTCAACATGTGAGAAGTAGAAAGTACAGGTATTTGGGTTCAAGATGTAAGAAGTAGAAAGTACAGGTATTTGAGTTCAAAATGTAAGAAGTAGAAAGTACAGGTATTTGAGTTCAACATGTGAGAAGTAGAAAGTACAGGTATTTGTGTTCAACATGTAAGAAGTAGAAAGTACAGGTATTTGTGTTCAACATGTAAGAAGTAGAAAGTACAGGTATTTGTGTTCAACATGTAAGAAGTAGAAAGTACAGGTATTTGGGTTCAACATGTAAGAAGTAGAAAGTACAGGTATTTGAGTTCAACATGTGAGAAGTAGAAAGTACAGGTATTTGAGTTCAACATGTAAGAAGTAGAAAGTACAGGTATTTGAGTTCAACATGTAAGAAGTAGAAAGTACAGGTATTTGAGTTCAACATGTAAAAGTAGAAAGTACAGGTATTTGAGTTCAACATGTGAGAAGTAGAAAGTACAGGTATTTGAGTTCAACATGTAAGAAGTAGAAAGTACAGGTATTTGAGTTCAACATGTAAGAAGTAGAAAGTACAGGTATTTGAGTTCAACATGTAAAAAGTAGAAAGTACAGGTATTTGTGTTCAACATGTAAGAAGTAGAAAGTACAGGTATTTGAGTTCAACATGTAAGAAGTAGAAAGTACAGGTATTTGTGTTCAACATGTAAGAAGTAGAAAGTACAGGTATTTGAGTTCAACATGTAAGAAGTAGAAAGTACAGGTATTTGAGTTCAACATGTGAGAAGTAGAAAGTACAGGTATTTGAGTTCAACATGTAAGAAGTAGAAAGTACAGGTATTTGTGTTCAACATGTAAGAAGTAGAAAGTACAGGTATTTGAGTTCAACATGTGAGAAGTAGAAAGTACAGGTATTTGAGTTCAAAATGTAAGAAGTAGAAAGTACAGGTATTTGTGTTCAACATGTAAGAAGTAGAAAGTACAGGTATTTGTGTTCAACATGTAAGAAGTAGAAAGTACAGGTATTTGTGTTCAACATGTAAGAAGTAGAAAGTACAGGTATTTGGGTTCAACATGTGAGAAGTAGAAAGTACAGGTATTTGTGTTCAACATGTAAGAAGTAGAAAGTACAGGTATTTGGGTTCAACATGTAAGAAGTAGAAAGTACAGGTATATGAGTTCAACATGTGAGAAGTAGAAAGTACAGGTATTTGAGTTCAAAATGTAAGAAGTAGAAAGTACAGGTATTTGAGTTCAACATGTGAGAAGTAGAAAGTACAGGTATTTGTGTTCAACATGTAAGAAGTAGAAAGTACAGGTATTTGTGTTCAACATGTAAGAAGTAGAAAGTACAGGTATTTGTGTTCAACATGTAAGAAGTAGAAAGTACAGGTATTTGTGTTCAACATGTGAGAAGTAGAAAGTACAGGTATTTGTGTTCAACATGTAAGAAGTAGAAAGTACAGGTATTTGAGTTCAACATGTGAGAAGTAGAAAGTACAGGTATTTGTGTTCAACATGTAAGAAGTAGAAAGTACAGGTATTTGTGTTCAACATGTAAGAAGTAGAAAGTACAGGTATTTGTGTTCAACATGTGAGAAGTAGAAAGTACAGGTATTTGTGTTCAACATGTAAGAAGTAGAAAGTACAGGTATTTGTGTTCAACATGTAAGAAGTAGAAAGTACAGGTATTTGGGTTCAACATGTAAGAAGTAGAAAGTATAGGTATTTGAGTTCAACATGTAAGAAGTAGAAAGTACAGGTATTTGAGTTCAACATGTAAGAAGTAGAAAGTACAGGTATTTGAGTTCAACATGTAAGAAGTAGAAAGTTCAGGTATTTGAGTTCAACATGTAAGAAGTAGAAAGTACAGGTATTTGAGTTCAACATGTAAAAAGTAGAAAGTTCAGGTATTTGTGTTCAACATGTAAGAAGTAGAAAGTACAGGTATTTGAGTTCAACATGTAAGAAGTAGAAAGTACATGTATTTGAGTTCAACATGTAAGAAGTAGAAAGTACAGGTATTTGAGTTCAACATGTAAGAAGTAGAAAGTACAGGTATTTGTGTTCAACATGTGAGAAGTAGAACGTACAGGTATTTGTGTTCAACATGTAAGAAGTAGAAAGTACAGGTATTTGAGTTCAACATGTAAGAAGTAGAAAGTACAGGTATTTGTGTTCAACATGTGAGAAGTAGAAAGTACAGGTATTTGTGTTCAACATGTAAGAAGTAGAAAGTACAGGTATTTGGGTTCAACATGTGAGAAGTAGAAAGTACAGGTATTTGAGTTCAACATGTAAGAAGTAGAAAGTACAGGTATTTGAGTTCAACATGTGAGAAGTAGAAAGTACAGGTATTTGTGTTCAACATGTAAGAAGTAGAAAGTACAGGTATTTGAGTTCAACATGTGAGAAGTAGAAAGTACAGGTATTTGGGTTCAACATGTGAGAAGTAGAAAGTACAGGTATTTGGGTTCAACATGTGAGAAGTAGAAAGTACAGGTATTTGGGTTCAACATGTGAGAAGTAGAAAGTACAGGTATTTGTGTTCAACATGTAAGAAGTAGAAAGTACAGGTATTTGGGTTCAAAGTGTAAGAAGTAGAAAGTACAGGTATTTGGGTTCAACATGTAAGAAGTAGAAAGTACAGGTATTTGTGTTCAACATGTGAGAAGTAGAAAGTACAGGTATTTGTGTTCAACATGTAAGAAGTAGAAAGTACAGGTATTTGTGTTCAACATGTAAGAAGTAGAAAGTACAGGTATTTGAGTTCAACATGTGAGAAGTAGAAAGTACAGGTATTTGAGTTCAACATGTAAGAAGTAGAAAGTACAGGTATTTGTGTTCAACATGTAAGAAGTAGAAAGTACAGGTATTTGTGTTCAACATGTAAGAAGTAGAAAGTACAGGTATTTGTGTTCAACATGTAAGAAGTAGAAAGTACAGGTATTTGAGTTCAACATGTGAGAAGTAGAAAGTACAGGTATTTGAGTTCAACATGTAAGAAGTAGAAAGTACAGGTATTTGGGTTCAAAGTGTAAGAAGTAGAAAGTACAGGTATTTGGGTTCAACATGTAAGAAGTAGAAAGTACAGGTATTTGTGTTCAACATGTGAGAAGTAGAAAGTACAGGTATTTGTGTTCAACATGTAAGAAGTAGAAAGTACAGGTATTTGAGTTCAACATGTAAGAAGTAGAAAGTACAGGTATTTGTGTTCAACATGTAAGAAGTAGAAAGTACAGGTATTTGAGTTCAACATGTAAGAAGTAGAAAGTACAGGTATTTGTGTTCAACATGTAAGAAGTAGAAAGTACAGGTATTTGAGTTCAACATGTGAGAAGTAGAAAGTACAGGTATTTGAGTTCAACATGTGAGAAGTAGAAAGTACAGGTATTTGAGTTCAACATGTGAGAAGTAGAAAGTACAGGTATTTGAGTTCAACATGTGAGAAGTAGAAAGTACAGGTATTTGGGTTCAACATGTGAGAAGTAGAAAGTACAGGTATTTGTGTTCAACATGTAAGAAGTAGAAAGTCCTCTGTGCAGACTATTCTATTTACATGTATATAGACTTTTTGCACTACTTTTTATTTGTATTTAGTATTTTTGTATTCTATGATATATGTTGCTTTGTTGGAGGAGATCAGGTCAGAATAATTTCATTGCCATTTCTACACTCTAGCTGCTGAGCATATGATGATAAAACCTTTGAATCTTGAATCTTTGAAAACTGACCTCGGCCACGCTGATGCTCTGCTTCCGGCCTCGCGGTGCCTCGAAGAACAGCTGCTCTTTGTTTCCTGTGTTCACCTGCAGCAGCTTACCTGCAGGGGACACAGCTCCATGCTTACCAGGAAATACATTTCACTTTCTGTTTCTCAACATTCTGGGACTTAAATCTCAGAGAATATTAGTTTTGTTTTTCTCTTACATTTATGACTCAATCTTGGAAGTTTTTCCCCCTTGCCTCAATCTGTATTTATACTTGACCTTCACTGGCCTTCATACATAGATACATGGTATATTTCATGATTTGATTGTGTCTGTATTATTTGTGCAGACAGATTGGAATTAGCTGCAAACCATTAGCCTGTTAGCGTAGCCTTACCTCTGGAGTCCCAGTCGATGTGTGTGATGTAGCTTCCCGCTCCTTTGCAGATTCCCACCCTCTTGCTGGTCAGAACGTTGTAGATGTCCACGAAGGAGTCGTGTGACGCCACGGCCAGGTACTTCCCGGAGTCTGAAACACAAACAGCTGATGGTCACAGACGGACCAATCACACGCCGCCTCCTCACACCTGCGTGGTGCGTTCAGGTACCTTGGGAGAAGCGGATGTCCGAGATGAGCTCCCTGCGGTGGTGGAAGGTCACCATGTCCTCCAGCGTGTCAGCGTTCACCACCAGGAAGCTTCCGTCGCTCAGACCCACTGCCAGCGCCTTCCCGTCCGGAGAGAAGGCGCAGCAGCGACCTCCTGGGGGGGAGAGACTCTTTAATGAGAGGAACCATGAAGATAAAACAAATAGTCGTTATAGGCCGCAAGGTGAACCTCGAAAAGTCCTTTAGAAAAGAAATCCCGCTCCACAGAAGTGGAACTACATAATCTTTAGTTCATAAAAAAGAACGAGTCATGCTTATCCACCAAAGAAAAGTTTGTCGCTAAAATTCCTGTCAATTATTCTAGGCACGTAATTATTGGCTGAACTATTCCCTTCAAAGCGTAATAATATCTTGGTCAAAAGTAGTGCCACGGTTTGTCACGTGATCGTGCTACACCAATTGGGTAGCTGCATATTGTCAACAGAAGTGAAAGATGGCCGCCTACAGGGTTACGCTAAACCAGACCAAATGGATTCTAAACAGTGCTGTATGCTTGTTTTATGTCATGTTTTGTCATATGTCTTAATACATCACTAAGTCCGAGGTATTTGCGTTATATACGCGATATTTGTGAGAGGTTTTACTATCTGGGAACAGAGTTGACCATCGAATCAACATTGGCTAGCAGCGTTTATCAGCCAACTCCAGCTACAACAACATTCCTGGACTACCATGTTCGCATCGCTAGGTTCATTGGCTGAGCTCGTGGATTATTCCATTAGACTGAGGACTTTTTGTCCGTCTGTTGTTATTGTTATCCTGTACACGTTAAATGCACTCTTACAATAAACATGACTTGATTTCATACATAGCTGCGTCCAAGAAGGTTAACTTGTTACGTTAAGTAATTTAGATCAATAAAATGCAGTACTTATACCAATGACCATTGATTCATTTATTTACTCATTCATCATATAATAATTTGATGAATTGCATTATTATTATTATTATAGATTATTATTATAGATATATAGATTATTATTATAGATATATATAGATTATTATTATATATATATAGATTATTATTATAGATATAGATTATTATTATAGATATATATATATTATTATTATAGATATATATATTATTGTTATAGATATATATAATATATATATTATATTATTATTATTATTGTAATATGATAATATTGTATTTGTAACTTCAAAATCAATGCCACCGTTGTAAGCTTGTCCTGTACGTATTCCATCTTGTATTGGTAAAATAATCAACCTTTTCGTGCTTCACAGACGTAATATGCATGTAACAATGTTTGTGTGTTGATAATTTTGACTTTTTGAGACTTTCTGGTGCGTTTCCTCGTCCCCGCTACTCGATGAAACCATGGCGGTCGCCATTTTTTCCAAATCTGTTTGTTGATACCGGTATATGCAGCTACCCAATTGGTGTAGCACGATCACGTGACGGACCGTGGCACTACTTTTGACCAAGATATTATTACGCTTTGAAGGGACTAGTTCAGCCAATAATTACGTGCCTAGAAGAATTGACAGGAATTTTAGCGACGAACTTTTTTTTGGTGGATAAGCATGACTCGTTCTTTTTTATGAACTAAAGATTGTGTAGTTCCACTTCTGTGGAGCGGGATGAAACGATAACAGGGTTCACCTTATGGCCTATTACTGAGAGGAACCATGAAGATACAACAAGTAGTCTTTACTAAGAGGAACCATGAAGATACAACAAATAGTCTTTACTGAGAGGAACCATGAAGATACAACAAGTAGTCTTTACTGAGAGGAACCATGAAGATACAACAAGTAGTCTTTACTGAGAGGAACCATGAAGATACAACAAGTAGTCTTTACTGAGAGGAACCATGAAGATACAACAAGTAGTCTTTACTGAGAGGAACCATGAAGATACAACAAGTAGTCTTTACTGAGAGGAACCATGAAGATACAACAAATAGTCTTTACTGAGAGGAACCATGAAGATACAACAAGTAGTCTTTACTGAGAGGAACCATGAAGATACAACAAGTAGTCTTTACTGAGAGGAACCATGAAGATACAACAAGTAGTCTTTACTAAGAGGAACCATGAAGATACAACAAGTAGTCTTTAATGAGAGGAACCATGAAGATACAACAAGTAGTCTTTACTGAGAGGAACCATGAAGATACAACAAGTAGTCTTTACTGAGAGGAACCATGAAGATACAACAAGTAGTCTTTAATGAGAGGAACCATGAAGATACAACAAGTAGTCTTTACTGAGAGGAACCATGAAGATACAACAAGTAGTCTTTACTGAGAGGAACCATGAACAACAAGTAGTCTTTACTGAGAGGAACCATGAAGATACAAGTTCTTTACTGAGAGGAACCATGAAGATACAACAAGTAGTCTTTACTAAGAGGAACCATGTAGATACAACAAGTAGTCTTTACTGAGAGGAACCATGAAGATACAACAAGTAGTCTTTACTAAGAGGAACCATGAAGATACAACAAGTAGTCTTTACTGAGAGGAACCATGAAGATACAACAAGTAGTCTTTACTAAGAGGAACCATGAAGATACAACAAGTAGTCTTTAATGAGAGGAACCATGAAGATACAACAAGTAGTCTTTACTAAGAGGAACCATGAAGATACAACAAGTAGTCTTTACTGAGAGGAACCATGAAGATACAACAAGTAGTCTTTACTGAGAGGAACCATGAAGATACAACAAGTAGTCTTTACTGAGAGGAACCATGAAGATACAACAAGTAGTCTTTACTAAGAGGAACCATGAAGATACAACAAGTAGTCTTTACTAAGAGGAACCATGAAGATACAACAAGTAGTCTTTACTGAGAGGAACCATGAAGATACAACAAGTAGTCTTTACTAAGAGGAACCATGAAGATAACAACAAGTAGTCTTTACTGAGAGGAACCATGAAGATACAACAAGTAGTCTTTACTGAGAAGGAACCATGAAGATACAACAAGTAGTCTTTACTGAGAGGAACCATGAAGATACAACAAGTAGTCTTTACTGAGAGGAACCATGAAGATACAACAAGTAGTCTTTACTGATAGGAACCATGAAGATACAACAAGTAGTCTTTTACTGGAGAGAACCATGAAGATACAACAAGTTAGTCTTTACTGAGAGGAACCATGAAGATACAACAAGTAGTCTTTACTGAGAGGAAACCATGAAGAATACAACAAGTAGTCTTTACTGAGAGGAACCATGAAGATACAACAAGTAGTCTTTACTGAGAGAACCAAGAAGATACAACAAGTAGTCTTTACTAAGAGGAACCATGAAGATACAACAAGTAGTCTTTACTAAGAGGAACCATGAAGATACAACAAGTAGTCTTTAATGAGAGGAACCATGAAGATACAACAAGTAGTCTTTACTGAGAGGAACCATGAAGATACAACAAGTAGTCTTTACTGAGAGGAACCATGAGATACACCAGTAGTCCTTTACTGAGAGGAACCATGAAGATACAACAAGTAGTCTTTACTGAGAGGAACAATGAAGATACAACAAGTAGTCTTTACAGAGAGGAACCATGAAGATACAACAAGTAGTCTTTACTGAAGAGGAACCATGAAGATACAACAAGTAGTCTTTACTGAGAGGACCATGAAGATACAACAGTAGTCTTTACTAAGAGGAACCATGAAGATACAACAAGTAGTCTTTACTGAGAGGAACCATGAAGATACAACAAGTAGTCTTTACTAGAGAGGAACCATGAAGATACAACAAGTAGTCTTTACTAGAGGAACCATGAAGATAACACAGTAGTCTTTACGAGAGGAACCATGAAGATACAACAAGTAGTCTTTACTGAGAGGAACCATGAAGATACAACAAGTAGTCTTTACTAAGAGGAACCATGAAGATACAACAAGTAGTCTTTACTGAGAGGAACCATGAAGATACAACAAGTAGTCTTTACTGAGAGGAACCATGAAGATACAACAAGTAGTCTTTACTAGAGGAACCATGAAGATACAACAGTAGTCCTTTACTAAGAGGGAACCATGAAGATACAACAAGTAGTCTTTACTGAGAGGAACCATGAAGAACAACAAGTAGTATTTACTGAGAGGAACCATGAAGATACAACAATAGTCTTTACTAAGAGGAACCATGAAGATAAAACAAGTAGTCTTTACTTAAGAGGAACCATGAAGATAAACAAGTAGTCTTTACTAGATGGGAACCATGAGATACAACAAGTAGTCTTTACTGAGAGGAACCATGAAGATACACAAGTAGTCTTTACTGAGAGGAACCATGAAGATACAACAAGTAGTCTTTACTAAGAGGGAACCATGAAGATCACAACAAGTAGTCTTTTACTGAGAGGAACCATGAAGATACAACAAGTAGTCTTTAATGAGAGGAACCATGAAGATACAACAAATAGTCTTTACTAAGATGGAACCATGAAGATACAACAAGTAGTCTTTACTGAGAGGAACCATGAAGATACAACAAGTAGTCTTTACTGAGAGGAACCATGAAGATACAACAAGTAGTCTTTACTGAGAGGAACCATGAAGATACAACAAGTAGTCTTTACAGAGAGGAACAATGAAGATACAACAAGTAGTCTTTACTGAGAGGAACCATGAAGATACAACAAGTAGTCTTACTGAGAGGAACCATGAAGATACAACAAGTAGTCTTTACTAAGAGGAACCATGAAGATACAACAAGTAGTCTTTACTAAGAGGAACCATGAAGATACAACAAGTAGTCTTTACTGAGAGGAACCATGAGATACAACAAGTAGTCTTTACTGAGAGGAACCATGAAGATACAACAAGTAGTCTTTACTAAGAGGAACCATGAAGATACAACAAGTAGTCTTACTGAGAGGAACCATGAAGATACAACAAGTAGTCTTTACTAGGGGAACCATGAAGATACAACAAGTAGTCTTTACTGAGAGGAACCATGAAGATACAACAAGTAGTCTTTACTGAGAGGAACCATGAAGATACAACAAGTAGTCTTTACTGAGAGGAACCATGAAGATACAAAAAGTAGTCTTTAATGAGAGGAACCATGAAGATACAACAAATAGTCTTTACTAAGAGGAACCATGAAGATACAACAAGTAGTCTTTAATGAGAGGAACCATGAAGATACAACAAATAGTCTTTACTAAGAGGAACCATGAAGATACAACAAGTAGTCTTTACTAAGAGGAACCATGAAGATACAACAAGTAGTCTTTACTGAGAGGAACCATGAAGATACAACAAGTAGTCTTTACTAAGAGGAACCATGAAGATACAACAAGTAGTCTTTAATAAGAGGAACCATGAAGATACAACAAGTAGTCTTACTGAGAGGAACCATGAAGATACAACAAGTAGTCTTTACTGAGAGGAACCATGAAGATACAACAAGTAGTCTTTACTGAGAGGAACCATGAAGATACAACAAGTAGTCTTTAATGAGAGGAACCATGAAGATACAACAAGTAGTCTTTACTAAGAGGAACCATGAAGATACAACAAGTAGTCTTTACTGACAGGAACCATGAAGATACAACAAGTAGTCTTTACTGAGAGGAACCATGAAGATACAACAAGTAGTCTTTAATGAGAGGAACCATGAAGATACAACAAATAGTCTTTACTAAGAGGAACCATGAAGATACAACAAGTAGTCTTTACTGAGAGGAACCATGAAGATACAACAAGTAGTCTTTACTGAGAGGAACCATGAAGATACAACAAGTAGTCTTTACTGAGAGGAACCATGAAGATACAACAAGTAGTCTTTACTGAGAGGAACCATGAAGATACAACAAGTAGTCTTTACTAAGAGGAACCATGAAGATACAACAAGTAGTCTTTACTAAGAGGAACCATGAAGATACAACAAGTAGTCTTTACTGAGAGGAACCATGAAGATACAACAAGTAGTCTTTAATGAGAGGAACCATGAAGATACAACAAATAGTCTTTACTAAGAGGAACCATGAAGATACAACAAGTAGTCTTTACTGAGAGGAACCATGAAGATACAACAAGTAGTCTTTACTGAGAGGAACCATGAAGATACAACAAGTAGTCTTTACTGAGAGGAACCATGAAGATACAACAAGTAGTCTTTACTGAGAGGAACCATGAAGATACAACAAGTAGTCTTTACTGAGAGGAACCATGAAGATACAACAAGTAGTCTTTACTGAGAGGAACCATGAAGATACAACAAGTAGTCTTTACTGAGAGGAACCATGAAGATACAACAAGTAGTCTTTACTGAGAGGAACCATGAAGATACAACAAGTAGTCTTTACTAAGAGGAACCATGAAGATACAACAAGTAGTCTTTACTGACAGGAACCATGAAGATACAACCTCATTAATAGTCTTTACTGAGAGGAACCATGAAGATACAACAAGTAGTCTTTACTGAGAGGAACCATGAAGATACAACAAGTAGTCTTTACTGAGACTAACCATGAAGATACAACTACAACAAGTAGTCTTTACTGAGAGGAACCATGAAGATACAACTACAACAAGTAGTCTTTACTGAGAGGAACCATGAAGATACAACCTCAACAAGTAGTCTTTCACATGCTGATATACAAGAGAGGGAGTTACACAGTTACAAGATTGAGGAATGCCGGTTATTGTAGGTAATCATACATCCTGTCATGTACAAAATAATGACTTTTTCCTGAAAAATTCTGACTTTTTTCTGAAAATCTAAACATTCAGACTTTTTCTCAAAATTTGACATTTTCCTCAAAATGTTGACATTTTCTCAAAATTCAGACTTTTTTTCTCAAAATCTCAAAATGCTGACTTTTTCACAATATTCTGAGTTTTTCACAAAATTCGGACTTTTACACAAAATCAGATTTTTTTTTCTTTCTAAAATTCTAAAAATCCTGATTTTTTTTCGGAAAATCACAAAAATCTGACTTTTTCTAAAACAAATTGCATTTTACTGAAAATCTCAAAACTGACTTTTTCTAAAAATGTCAAATTTCTGACTTTTTTTCTCAAAATGTTGACATTTTCTCAAATTTCGGACTTTTTCACAAATTCTGACTTTTTCAAAAAAAATTCTGACTTTTCTGAATACTTTAAAATGTTAATAATCACTGGTCAACAGTCCGGTGAACAGGTGAACTGTGAACTCTCTCACCCTTCTTCAGTTTGCGGACGGCCACCATGCGATGATTGGCCGACAGCTCCCAGATCCTCAGGGTTTTGTCGTCGCTGACGGTGGCGCAGACAGGAAGTAGAGGATGAGCCGCCAGACCCCACACCTCCCCCTCCATGTGACCCTGAATACAACACAACAACAACATGAAACTCCAACAGACAGTGAATGCATCACATTGGCTTTTCAAAGACCTTTACCATGCCTTTATCTTCAGTAGACCCGACTACTGTAATAGTGTCTTCTTATTTAAATAAATAACGGTCCCTCTGACCTGCAGCAGGAGGGTCATCGGGCCGCTCTTATCGATCTCCAGGATCTCTCCATTCTTGGTGCCCAGCAGGATGTGACCGTGACCCAGAGTGATGGCTCTGATGGAGGGGTTGTCCTCCAGCAGCAGACCTGACACACATGTAAGAGAATATTTTAATCTGATCTTGATTATAGAGTTTCTTATTGTTTCTTAGAATCTGTGATACTGCAAACATCTGTAAGTATCAGTCAAAAACTCCTCTGTAAGTTGAGGTCACAGGTCAAACGCTTCTCCTATATCCGTGGGGGAAGGGTCCAGGCCTGTCTGCATTTCCTTAAGACAAGTAGATTATTGTCTCCCATCTGCTATTGATTAGGTAAACGCGGGCTTCTGTGGGCCCGCCTCTCCTCATGTTGCTGCGTGTTGGGGCTATTCGGGGGCAGAGATGATTTTGGTGGACCACAGGACAGTGTGAAACTAAGTGATCTCCCCGGCCGTATTTGTTTGTATTGTGTTCAATAAACTCTCAGTGCTTTGGCTAACGACGTTCCAGACACCTTCATTCTACCTCAACATTGCAACAACAGAAGTTTATCTTCACAATTGGCGTCACGAAACAGTACCAAGATTTCTTCAGAGACTGGTAAGTGCTATTTCAAATCTATTTGAACACTGCCTTACCAGACTCTGTGATTGACGGTATCAAAATTACCTGTGAAACTGCGCGAGTGCAATTTGTTTTGGTCTCTCTACTCTGTACATTTGGGGCATAATTATAACCTGAGAAATCGGTGTCAAATGGGGATTCTATCCTGGCCGGTTTTTCCTGTGATTGCTGCTGGGGCAAGTGCCCACAGAAGCAAGCACAGCTCATGTATAAAACAATAAGAATATTTGGGGCTAATAAATAACCTCGGAATATCGACTTTTACCGATTTCCGCTGTGTGTGGTTCCTAGAATTAAATTACTGGACAATTACACACTGCAAATATTCGGAGAGACTTTAAGGAAAGCATCAGCAAGGTGGAACTTCTGTTTTCAAAAAGCAATGTGAGGATTTGTAATTGAAACAAATCGCCGAATTCTGGAGATTTCAACGGGTTAAATCAGATCAATCCGCCTCGGGTATCTGCTCAGCCTGCAGGAGGAAGGGCGAATTCCCCTCCCCCCTGTGGTGAACGGCACACGAGGAATGTAGAACACAGAGTTGTACTTTTGTTAATCACACCATGAGCTTGAGAACTAAATTTAGCTATTAAATGGGAAGGGTGATACCAGAATATTACATTCACACTGTGTTTAATAAACTAACGGATTATTGAATTGGCTGTTGTTTAAAAAACAAAACAAAAAACAAAAAAAAGTACTGAATTAATTAAAAATCTCTGCTCTCGGTCGGTAGAGCAGTTTTACCACTACATTTGCATAGTGGTTTTGATTGAGAATAAGGTAGTTTATTGCTCATCAACAGATTACTAGTAAATATGGCTGAGAAGAGCCCATATTAAACAGATATTTCAGTGCTCCCGTTGAGGTTTCCGTAATTTCGGATTAAATTAAACTGGATGACTTTTTGGCCAGGGCGCTGATTTTGTTGCGAGTACATGTTTGTTTGTCTAATTGCAGTGTTTGTTTTATTGTACTAACCGTTAAACATGGGTAATACTGCCTCCACAAACGATTCAGTTGGTAAGAGGAAAACCATTTCACGCACAAAGACACTTACAAAAAATCCAATTGCAGAAAACCACTATACGCATTTGTTTTCTCCAAACATGCCGTCTGGAATTGTCGGAAGGACCTTGGATTGGTCTAAAGTTATGCCGTTTACATCGTTACTTTGCGAACACTCACAACAGATTAATCAGAAAGGATTGATTCAATTTGACTGGCCTCTTACAGGTAGTTTTGATATGGCCGTGTTGTGGCAGGCCTTTAAACTGGTGGAAGATAATTCTAATTGTTCATGGGATCAGAAATACATGACAGAATGTGTGAAAGCTTGGATGACTATAGCAGAAAAAAGGGGTTATGAGGAGCGGAAGAATGCAAAATCTGTTGGCAGCGAGCGAGGCTCCATTGAGCTCAAGGCGCTTATTGATAAAGTTTCTCAATGTGCAAAAAGTTGTCATTTGCTTAGCCTAGAGGCTGCTTTTGATGTAAGATCAGAAAACATGTCTAGAATTAGGGAAAGACACGGTGAAAATGTTCCAGACATTGCAAAATCAGTAATGTATGATTGGGTTAAACGACAAGGTAGATCTCCAAGCCCATCTCAGCTCATTTGTATTTTGACAGATGCGGGGCTGTTGGAAGGAAAGCAGGCTGTCTCTCTCTGTACACAAATAATTCCCGCGACAGAACTCTCAAATCCCGTTGCGAGAAACTCCGATGATGATCTGTTAATGACAACTGCCGCTATCATGAATGAAAATGGGTTGAGATATCAGACAGGACAATATAGAGAATTAGAATCGGCACACGAGGAGCAGAGTGCAGCAGCAGGGGAAGGGAATCTTTCACACGGCAGTCCGTTACAGACCCCCACTCCTCGCACTCCGCCACTCCTCTTACAAGATCATCCAGGTTCGCCGTACGGCAGCAGTTTTCCAAAACATGTCCAGCGTAAATACATCACGACAATGCAAACATCTCAGAATAATAATTCTGCAAAAACTGTGACCGCCCCGAAAATTCTGATAGGAGAGGTTCCAGTTTTTAAGCCCTGGACACCCGCTGAGGTCATTGATGTCACTAACCACGCTCCCAGTCCCACTAAAAGTCCAGATGAGTATCTGTCATGGTTGACTAATGTCTGCTCAGTTTATAACTGTTTGGTTCATGATGTTAAATAGCTGATAATCTTAACATACAAAGCAGATTGGCCCACGTGCAGAGACGAGTTTAAATTTCCTGAGTGTACGGCCGCAGGAGATTGGCCTCTGACACAGACGCGAGACATGTGGATACAAAACGTCGCCGCATTGGCTATCAGAGCATGCGCTAAGACTCACACAGATTTCTCCCAAGTGACGGCTTGTGTACAAAACTCAGCAGAAAATGTCCCAGAATTTATCCAGCGTTTCATGACAGTTTGGGACAATAATGCAGGCATTAAAAGAGAGGGTAATGATTTGTTTGCCATACAGACCTTGTTACATAATTTAATCCCAGAGACAGCTCAGGCGTACATGATGTCGACTCCCGATTGGCAAATGAAATCTTGGAAAATGACTATCACCACAATGCGTGCGTTGCATAGGAGCCAAATATTCCTTACCCCCAGAATTTCACAACTGCTTCAACAATTTCCTCAAAACACCCAGGCTTATCAAACGCAGGGACAAAACCACACACAGCAGTATCAAAATCAGGGGAGATCACAGGATTATCATGATAAGAGCAGACAGCAGCAGAACAAAAATCCCCAAAAGTTGATGCCATGTCATGTTTGCGGAGAGACCGATCACTGGGCAGGACAGTGTGATAAGCGGTGGGGGGTCCAGCAGCACACACAGCCCCCCCTTACACAGCCCCCCCTCACCCAGCCCCCCTTTTCCCAGCCCGCCCTTCCCCCCCCCCCCTTCCCCAGCAGTCCAGACATCTGGCATTAACGCAGCCTCCACGGTATGACAGACAGATCCAGGAGCAGAACGCTCAACAAAGCGGATTTAATAGAAGATAGGGGTGCCAGGAAGATATAGGATCAGATTCACAGCATTTCCCCATTCAAGCAGCAACAATTCGCCTTTCCAATAACCCGCGTGAAGATCCGATTATGCCCGTTGATTTTAGTGGTACGGCTGTAGATATTTTGATTGACAGCGGAGCCACCTTGTCTGCCGTGCGTACTAAGGAGAAAGTGTGTGAAGCAACCAATACATTTGTCACAACCATCGGTGTTGCTGGAATTTCTATGTCCGAACCCATTTCAGAGAACACTAATGTTTCAATTAATGGATCAAACGTGGAACACTCTTTCATTATTTCAGATGGAAGTCCTATTAATTTAATGGGCAGGGACTTACTATGTAAGTTACAGGCAACAATACATTGCACTTCAGACGGATTGTTTTTGACAATTCCTGACAGTAAGGTCTATCAGGCAGTCCAATTCATTCAATCATCGCGAGACAACCTTTATTGTTGGTCATTTCCAGATTTCAACATGATTTCTGTTTTCTCCACAACAGGGATTCAGAAGATTGCTAGCATTTCTCCGGTGTGTGCGTCTTTAATGTCTCTTATGCGACCTGTGTTGAATTGTCATTGCACAGCAGCCTTTAATCCGTCAGATGACTACGTGCGATCAGTAAGAGGTTTTTGCAATAGTTCAGATCGGTTGATAAGTGAACAATATTTATTCATTGGCCGACAAGGATGTGCATTACCCCTCAGGCTAACACCCTCACATCGGGGCTTTCATCTTGAAGAAACCCTCCCCTACATCACAGTGGCTGTTACGCCAGGCAGTAACCCAAAAGAGGTGGGGGCCATGGCAGCCCGCTGCCAGGCCCAGCTGGAAGCCTCACTTTCCCCTCTCTCACACACACACACACGCACCTAACGTAATTAACTTTGGAGGGGAGCATTTCCTGCTGCGTCTCGTGGAGCCAATTGCTCTTCCCCAAAGCACCTTCCTTCATTTACAACCAAACCCCCCACAGAGTATGGCCCCCCCCTCAGATTTTTCAGAAGTCCCAGCTACATTATGGGCAAAACACAAGAATCATGTTGGGTTTGTTGCCTCAGCGCCTCCACATCGAGTAACACTTAAAGCCAACGCCAGATTGCCAGCTATCAGACAGTACAATTTTCCCCATAGAGCCATTTTGGGGATTGAAGGAGTAATCCAATCTTTGCTTGATCAGGGCGTGTTAATTTACACAACCAGTCCCTGTAATACTCCAATTCTACCCATACCTAAACACAATCGCCCTGATGAGTGGCGCTTTGTCCAAGATTTGCAAGCTATTAATGCTATTGTCATTCCGACAGCTCCTATAGTGCCGGACACCAATTCGATTTTAGCTTCTCTGCCCCCGGACTCTAAGTACTACACAGTGATTGATTTATGTTCAGCGTTTTTCTCTGTTCCTCTGCATCCAGACAGCCAGTATCTGTTTGCATTTACTTTTAAAGGTAAAC